TAGGCTGCGCAGAAATACTCCGCTACCCGTGGGGACCCGCAGATACTCCGCCCCGCGGGGGACCCGTTGATGATATTTTAGACCCGCGGGGGACCCGTTGAGCTTTCAAAATTATCCGCCCCGCAAATACTCTGCAAATTTATTAATTTTTATAATATTAATATAATTAATATAAAGATTAATATAAAAACTAATATATTTTTATAATTATACTAATATTATACTAATATTATATTAATATTTATAATATTATAAAATTTATATCTGCGGAGTATTTGCGGAGTATTTGCAGCGGATACCCAACGGGTCCCCATTCAGATTTTTCTATTATCCGCCCCGCAAACGGAGGACCCGCGGGGGACCCGCCAGGCCAATAATCCGCCCCGCGGGTACCCGTTGCGCAGCCTAGCATTGGGAGTGTCGTCTACTCCCTATTATTCTGGCCGGATGATGTAACAATTCTGGAGCCTACATAAGTGTAGCTACCAATTGAACTTCTCAAAATCCAATATGTGCAAATGAATGTGACCAAGCCCTGTTGTAGCAGGACAACTTACCCTACGAATAGATCCCTTCGTAGTACACGTAAATTAATCATATGTTTCGGAAACAAAACAGTAAACAATTCAAAAGAATTCTTGGTGGATTACTTAGCTATCATTCTTCTTTTACGTATACTACAGGAAAGGGCATTTTCAAGCTTTTCGATATGGATAATGAAGTCGATATTCGTTATTCATATTTATGAGATGCAGCAAAATAAGAAACTATCTAAATAGAGAATAAAAAGAAGTGGAAGAAATAAATCTTGAAGTTCTTTGCTTTTTTAAAGCTTTTAAGGTTATATCATCGATTGATGCTATAGCTATTGTGCATGTGAACATATGCAGTATGACTGTAAGATGATTAACTTAAATCAGTATATCACTCCTGGTGTTGATATCCTAAAATATCTTGCTCTCCTTTCGCTACCTCGGCTAACTTTCTCTTGGATCTCCTCAACTCATTTCCAAGCCACCGCTTCTCTTTAGCTATTCCTATTAGCTAGAATAGTTACTCTAGCCTCTTCATAATCTCTAACTCTCAAACTCTCAACTTTCAGAGAATTTGTTCGATTTCCTTAATTATAATGATAGCCGCATTCTTGGGCTATATTGCTTTAGGATACGAGAGATCTATTTCATACTTTCAGGAAAGAAGTTGAATGATGAAAAAAAAATGTTTGGAATTGTATATAAGATTTTACCCCGTTGTATGCGTGCCACCACAGAGCCAACGAAGAGCTTTGAGGATGATTAGTCTCGATTCTCGAATATCATGGAATGAGGTCCTTCCAGCCAATAAAAAATAGTTGATACTCCAAGAAAGAGATAGATGCACGAATTCTTCTACCGACAATACTATGTTAAGCAACTATATAGTATACACATGTGAGATTATTCCCAGAGTGATACGTATCCCGAAGCTTTTGCCAATGAGATCATGTCCATGTCAGTAAGTGGTTTCATTCTACCGCGCTCGGCAATGTGACCTTCAACGACGTTCTCCGAATAAATTTTACATCTTTAGAGTGTTAACCTTTCCCAGGGAGATTTAAGTAGGATGGAGTACCCACGCGTATTTTACCTCAAATTGACCTGGATTTAATGGGCTCATCGATATCTCCAACCTGAGACGTACGTACAGTTGTGGTAGTCCGTTTATCTTCGAGCCAACTTACCAATGAAATCATGATATTAAGATTCGGAAAAGAGGTTATTATATTACCCAAATTGTCAGCGATAATTTCGTTCATAATTCAATGGAATGAATAGTGGTCAGGCCACTATGATTGTGCATATATGCACAACTACAGTATGAAAATTGGAAAAGGAATGTAGAACCAAAAGCCGGCCATGCTTACGGTCAATTCTAGGAGCCATCTTGAATATATGTTCGTATGAATGTGAATAAGAATTTATCGATTTTATATGTGATTGTCATTATTATCTCTGTGAGTCGAAATGTATGTTTTGAAATCTTGAAAACCATCCAAGCGACGAAGGGGTTTCCTTATATGCGTTTGCAATATGTGTTTTTATACTACTCGAGTATGCAAAGCGGCTATTTTACTATATGTGATAAAGTTACCAGTTTACCAATCCCAATTAGAGCCGAGACCATAATTCTATGCACTGGGTAATATGTGCAACGAACGTCATTCATTGACATTAAACTTCTTTGGCCACTGGCGCTAACCTCAACGAGACTAAAGTATACATCCAGAGTCAATTTGAATAGTAAAAGCTACATACTCGAGCCGATAGTACCCGAACAAATCATTCTTTAACTCCCCGACGCAGTTTTTCTTTTCCTACAAGAGATCGTGCCATTGGAGATAACCAGATCTCCGGTCCTTGGACATCCATAGAGCCTCGATTTGCTTCGATTGTGGCCTCAATTTCCTTAGCGACAACACGATTACTGCTGATCGTTGTCAAACCAGATACCCATCCGTACAGAAATACGGATGAATTAACGCCAGTCAGAACCTTCAAGACGTCATTGGCAACAAGTGGAAGCTCGGGTACGATGATCGATACATCCACATCGATGAGCGTGATTGGCAACTGCCATTCCGAAGGGATGCTATACTCGGAGAGCTTTTGGAATTCCTCCGCCAGCTGTTCTCTCGTTGACTCGTGACCGAAACCAAATAGCAGTTCCATTCTTTTCTTTTCGGTATCCGTTCCAATCGTGTCTATAATCTCTTGAGCTCTCGTGACTGCTTCACGAGTGCATACAAGCTTCCTAGCCCCACAAGCAGGCCAAACGATACTAGGTAATAGCTGATCTTCGCTTTCCATCTCCATCTGTTTGGTCAAGAATCGATGATGCCAGTCTTTTGGCTCAACACGGCCATGTGAAAGACTAAAGATTGGGTAATTAGCAAACAGGTAAATGGCTGATTGTTATTTGTGGGGGATGGGAGCACCTGTCATGGGACTCAGTATCTCTCGCTTATACTTACTCGCTAATGAATGCAAATATCATTGTACAATCAACGTTGAGTATTTCAGTAAATTTCTCAAATGGATTAACTACCATGCGATGCAGAACTGTTGATATCATAGGGCTCGTAGGAATATCCTCAAATGTCTGCACCATAACACCTAGTGCCCGAATCTCCTGTAAAACACTAGCCACCTGCTTTGGGCAATCTCGTGTAAGTCTAGGTAGCACAAGGCGCACTGATGGATACCGGTATTTAGTTCTAGCCAACTTAGAGGCTTCTACAAGTAATTTAGCTTGCTTCAAAAGACCTTCTGACTCATCCTCTGTGTCTAGTCGAGCGACATCATCGTCTTCATCATCGGTCGAGTCATCCTCAGCCCATCCAGCCTTAGCTAGATCGAATATCATCCTCCTAGCAGTAATCGTGTTTACTTTGACCCATTCAAGATCTTCTCCGGCCACAATATCAACCTCTACACTTTTGATATTGCTCTGTGCCGAGAGATCACCTCGCTTAGATTTGAGCAAAGTTTGACCAATGGACCAAAAGAAACGTTTTCTCAAAGCTGTGATGCCCTTGCAACATTTTGCCGTATTCCAAACAGCGGAATAGAATGGAAAATTCGAAGAACTGATTGTATGGGCAACCTTTTCGTTCTCTGGATCTAGGTTTGCGAGTCTTATTAAAGATTTGATCTCAGACTGGAGATTCGTCGAAAAGTGCCTCAGTTCAACCGTCTTGTCTTGTTTCCGCTCCTTCAAACAAGCCTTGAATTGTTCGAGTTCCATCATCAAATCTTGAGATCTTTGAAGTAATTCCGTCACTGATCTCTCCGAGTTGGGCTCGGGATCCAATAACTCCAAAGCAGTCATACTATTGGTAATGACCTCAGCATTCGGCGTAGCCATGCTGGTAGAATTCAAGAAAAGTGCTCACAGGCTGAAGGTAGTTCTTGAAGAGTATCACCTGCGATTAGGAGCCATGGAAATAATCGGCATATGACTGTATTGGCTGGCCTGACTATTCACATTCATATTATCCAGAAGATGACTCTTGATATCAAATCAAATTGCCCAAACTTCGGCTAAATTTTCCTTCCCAGCCTTACAGTCAAGGCAAGAACGGTCAGTTTTATTACGTAAGCTTCTTGGTCAAATAAGGGGCTATAAACATTTTACTATTGGTAATAACAAGAATTTGGAAACAACGTTAGAATAGAGGATATTAAGGACAGAAAGGAGGGAGAAGAAGAAGGGAAAAGAGGAGGCGAGGTGAGAATATATGCTAAATACAACCACGTGGTAGGTGTATTTAATAACACATTATAATCACACCCATATCCACTACTAGTGGGGTCAGTAGCGCCTCGTTTATCAGGTCGTAACTCACTTGCTTATTCCCGATCTCATGTTGCCAAACCAGAAAATTCCGTCACAAACGTATCTTACAAAAAAACACAACCACAATTCTCTACTACAATAACTACCAAGATGCCCTCGGACGACCTTACAAAATGGATAACGTCCGAAGTCGACTTCTATGCCCTTCTGGGCATAACCCCCGAATCTTTCACCGTTGACGATCTCCGTCGCGCCTACCGTAAAACAGCCCTTCAATACCACCCCGACAAACTGGGCGACGCCTTCGACGCCGATAAATACGAGCAATTCCAAGCCGCGAACGATGTGCTCGCAGACCCTGAATCCAAACAAAAATATGACAATTATCGCAATGCGCGGGTGCAAAAACAAAGGGCGGCGGCATTATTCGAGGGGAAGAGAAGAACCATGAAAGAGGATTTGGAGGCGCGAGAACGCGGGGGCAGTTTGGGGAAGAGAAGTAGAGAGGATGAGGAGATGGATGTCGAGCTTAAAAAGTTGGCGGAGGAGGGCAGGAAGAGGAGGGTGAAGAGGGAGAGTATGATGTCAAACAATGTGCCATCACCTAACTCACCTCCCGTAGCGCCGTCACCTCAAGTGCAATCGCAACCGCAGCCCCAATCGCGCCCACAACCTTCAGCATCTGCCACGTCCAATTCAGAAGACGAAAAAGTAGCACGTCTCGAACGTCTAATCGCCGAAGCCACCGCTGCAAAAGCGAAACGCAAGGCGGACAAAAAAGCTAGGAAATCAGGCAAATTGTCTGATCCAGTCGCGGATACTACTTTTAATGCCAACTCGAAATCAGCATATACCGGGGTGCATGTCGTACCTTGTGTTACGCCCTAACACCGCTTCTAAAATTATTCAATCTGGTTCAAACATTCAATGGAGTTCAGACATCGGGGGACGGGGCGTATGCATGGTACTCTTTTTGTGGAATTTAGCATGGCGCTGGTAGTTCGGGAAAATTCTCCATATACGTATGGGGTCATTAGATAATTAGAATAGGAAGCAGTTCCTATGATATATTTTTGCTTTACAGTTCGTGTGCAATGCGCTGTGTATGTATTGACCACGAAAACCAAAAACCTTTGATGAAATTCTACTATGTCTCGATCCAAGCAGGAGGGAAGGCTCTAACCCTAATATTCCTAACTTCTCCCTCTCCCTCCCCCTTCCCCTCCACCATAAATTCCTCCCCACCACCCCCCTCCTTCCCCTCCACCATCCACCTACCCATCTCATCCAATCTCGCCAATCCCAACCCCAAATTTCCAACCCCACTTAGCCATTTCCCCACCGGCCTCTTTCCCCCAACCTTCTTAATACTTTCTCCCCCTTTCAACCAACTCGCCAGATTGCCTCCCTTATACTCCAACTCTCCTAGACCAGGCATATCCTCCCCGTCCGGAACCAACATCATGGGTACGATTCTCTTCCTCACCACCCCCGTATGATGCGTCCTAATAGTCAATTCCTGGCCTACATAACACCCCTTCGCATAATCGATGCCGCCCATTGAATCCACATTACTTTCCTGCGGCAGGGCGGTCTCCCTAAGTATCTCATCCTGTCCCTCCGGCACTCCAATCAGGTATCTTTTCACTCTATACATATCTTCCCCCTGCACCCGTAGCTCTTGATCCTCCATCTGCAACTCCGCATTCCGATTCGAAATGATCCTTTTCCCCATCCCCGGCGCTCGATTATCTACACACACAATCCCCCTATCCCCGTCCATCCACCCGATACCCTCCTCTCCCTCCCCTTCCCCTCCCCACAAACTCCAAACCTTTCTATCTTCCTCCCCCACAACCTCAATTTCAAACTTAGCTCGCATCCTATACCTCCTAATATGTGTAGCCAAAACCTGCACCTCCTTCGCATCAACCTCTATCAACCAATTATTGTCCCCTTCCTTCCCATCTCTATAAACCCAAACATCGTTCAACACCCTCCCCTGCGCATTTAGAAACGCAGAATAAAACCCCGCCTTGCCCCCCTCTTTGTAAATATCATTCGTAATAACGCCCTGAAGGTATTTCGTTGAGTCAGGACCTTTTAACGAGATAAGTCTACGGGAAAATAGGCGCGCAATGCCTTTTTTAGCGGGTGCGAGGGGATGTATTTGTGTTTGTGTTTGGTTTGAAGCAGGGGTTGAGGCTGGCGTTGATAAGTATCTGCGATTCGAAGGTAGTGCAGAAATTCTTTGACGCCCAGAACAGATGTTACATATATATCCACCTGCAGAAATGGGAACGGGTCGTTTGGAGAAGAGATTCGATAGAGGTTTCATGGTTGCTTTATGTTACATTTAGTCAATTGGATGGTCGAGTTGTGGTTTGGTGGTTTGGTGTTTGGTGTTTTGTGACCATCTTCTTGGGGATTTGAAGAAATCCCCATGGAAGCTTTATTGTGACGCAGATGACGTAATGCACCCAGATTTCACAACCGTGTTTCTAGTGATAGTCATCAAAGTATTACGATGTATAGGGCAACACATTCTTCGAAAACCTCAATTCTTACTGTGAATTGAAATGACATTTTTTTAGCACTAAGATCACGATATTATCAATCTTTGCTTTCGATTTGATTTGATTCGATTCACAATTCAACAATGCAGCTCGTCTAATCATTTCAGATTTACGATATGAGACTCCATCGAAAAAAATAAATTGATTTCATGTTTTTTATACTAAGACAAGCAAGCAACTATATAGTATTGGCAAATCTGGGTACTGGGATATCACCAAACGATTTCTCCGAATGTTATCAAATCCAAACTCCCATTGAAATGCCAAAACCATGCAAAAGAAAAGAGAGAAAGACGACCCATGCTTCAACATCCTCCTTCAATACCCCCGACTAGCTACTGCGTCTAGGTAGTTCAATAAAAAGCCTTTGTCGGCTGGTGAGATTGGCGTTTGACTTCCACGGCGCGACATACCGTCACCATTCCCTGATGCCAAACTTCCAACTCTTGATCGGGACGCAGCACTCCTCGTTGCGTCTATCAGAGGATTGGGGGAGGGTCCATCATGCGATGATGTTTTAGACACTGAGCTGGAAGCGGCCATAGGCGATCTTCCGAACAATGACAGAAGAGCATGCTTTTGTTCAGTTGACTGTGGGGCCTGCGAAGTAAAGGATAGCGGAGACGTTGAAGGACCAGCGAGATTAGATGGTGCAAGGCTTGGTGAATAGGCAGCTATAGTGGAAGGCCCAAGAAGTGGCGAGGCCCTGACTGCATTCGCTTGTGGCCTCTTAAGAATCTGGGGTTGAAATGGTTTTTCGGGTGAAGTCTTTGAAGCAATCTTGCTACTATTGTGCATTTCTGATCTGGTAACGGGCTTCTTTGACAAACTACCATATGGCTTAACATCTCTGTGACCATTTACCGGACGAGTGAGAATAGATGTAGCTCGGAATGGAAGGTTCAATTCAGGATTGATTTCTGGAATCTCTCGACTGATTTTACCACTGGTAGCATTCCCGTCGGTAGTTTCTGGTTGTAACATTTGGGGTGGGGAGACAACTTCTACTGCGCTTAACTCCACCGCAGAAGGCGATCCGGATGTTGGCAGCGCCACAGCTGCTGGTGTCGCAGCTAGAGTTGCGGGCTGAGCTGCAGGACTTTTGAATATACCCAGTAACATTAATCGTTGCTGTTCACTAATGGGTGGGCGAGCTACTTGGTTGTGACTGATTGTACTCGAAATACCTGCATTTAGTCCCGATACGGACTTTGGGGGTTGAAGTGGCTCAGTCAGAACAGGGACAGGTATAGATCGAGAACTTTCCCCTGGAAGTTCTTGAGCTTCAGGTAGCGAAGTAATTACGTGTGATTGAGTCGGGCCTTGGGAAGGCAAGTGGTTGGTGGAAGTGGTATTTCCGTTTACTTGATCGCGAGTCTTGAAAGCATTTAAAAGTAACAACGAATGGCTAGTAAGTGCAGCAGGTGCTTCCTTTTGTTGAGGTGGAACTATGGTGGCATGTACATTAGGAAATTGAGGAGGCATAGAGCCAGACACCATAGAATTGTGATGCAGAGGTTGTTGCTGAACAGGCTGTGGAACCATTCTGGAATGTACAGGACCTCCGGTGAACAAGACTTTCTGGGCATTGGGGGGTAATGGTTGGGGATGAATCAAAGGAGGTTGATATGGGTGACGTTCTCGCTGCTGTGGAAGTTGTTGCGGTATCTGCTGTGGTATCTGCTGTGGTATTTGCTGCAGCATTTGTTGCGGTACTTGATGGCGATATTGCATGTTAGGGACAGACCTTTGATCTTGACGAACATGGAAATCTGGTCGCTGGTAGGCATAAGTTTGCATTGGCCGGTGCTCTTGCTGCTGTTGTAACTGGAAGGTAGGCGGAGGTGGTTGATTCGAGATATGTGAAGGATGAGGTACTTGATGATGAGGCGGTTTAGGAAAAGAAGGTTGTGTGGTGGTATGGTCTAAAGGTGTTTGGGGAGGCGGTTGTGTGGGGGCTGGTTGATCCACGGGAGGTTTACTGTGTAAAAGAGCAAGCAGTTGCTGTCCTGAGCTGTGTATAGCTTGTGATTGCACCGAATTCAAGGCATTGTGCTGTAACCCCTGAGTCGATGGTTGAACTTGCATGATAGCAGAAAGAGCAAGGTCGGCAGCATTACGCCTAGTTCGTTCTGCATCTTGTGAGACGGATGCATCATAATTTATACTTGGCTCAACCGGCTGGTCATCCTCGGTGATACATTCATCGTGGCTGATATTCCCTGCAGCTTCCAAATACTGGGTATTTACTGCCATCTTTGCATCTTTTTTCTTCTGATCTAGAATCCACTTCTTGAGTGGAGGTAGGAATGGGGCCACCATATAAAATTTGTTGGCATTGACAGCAGCCTCGGGTTGATGTTGCTGCTGGCCTTTCTTTCTATATGCTGGAAGATCAGATAACGGCCACCACTGTATCTTACTGATCTCCTTTCGAGTTTGTGGCTCAAAAGGAGTATCCTTAGGAACATTTCTGAAGACGTATAGTCTTATTTGTTGATTGTGGCCCGTAACATCAATGCCTTTCACAAGACTCCGGTCTGGAGTCACAAGCCCTGATTCTTCAAGGTCATAGCCCGTCTCCTCGTAGGCTTCTCGGATAGCGCAGGTAAGATCGTCCTCATCTTTGTTGATTTTCCCCCGGGGGAAACTCCAATTTGCACCCTTCTTCCAGCCCTTGACAAGAACAACCGAATCCATGCTCTCATTTAACAAAATTACGCCCCTCACTGGAACTCGGGTCTTGTATAAAAGGAACTCTTCAAAGGCTCGCATATGTATACTTTCTGAAAAGTTTGAAAGTAAAGGGCAATGAAGGAATATCTTTAGGCAAAAGTTACGAAGGCTCATCGAGGGTAGACTTGGATCGAGGGGTCGAATGAAATCTTCGTAGTACCATTGCGCTTCTTCGACTTGAAAACATATTCGAGGAACGTGTGATAGATCAGCCGCAGGAATATTTATTATGAATCGGACACAAAGGTCGTCCAGCCCTAAAGGATGTGATTAGCTAAATTACTTGATAATGTTGAGGCTGAACTTGAACAGCGTTGTCGTCGATAGTGTTCTCAAGCTAGAATGGGTGCGGTATGGTAGAATGGTCTACTTGATAAAACCTTATCTTTAATACTTACAGTCTTCTAGCTGCATTTTTCTGCCTGTCATGTTGTCTTCGCTCATGTTGTCTTCGCGTCACAAGCATATCCACGACTCGAGTTTCTTTTCGGAGCGGGGGGACGCGCAGGAACGCTTTAGCTAAATAAGCTGAAACCAGAATGATATTAAGACCCTTAGTGGCAAAATAAAGGAGTGATCTGTCTGAAAGGAAAGCTTGCGAAGCTTATTCTGGCAAAAATGGTGATTGAATAGTAATATGAACTTGTTGGAAGGTCGTGAAATGTGGAGGTATGAGTGGATGAGTTTGGTGTTTGTACTGGTTGAGAAAGTGAGGCAGTGTCAATGTCAACAGCTTGGTTTGGAGCTCGGAACCCAACTAGTTAGAAACTACCGTAGAGGCATGGAAAGCCACGGTTGATTCATAAACGCCACAACCTTCCTAAGCCACATCTTCACATGACTTGTCTTCTTTAAATTGGATTATAACTAGAGCGTAACAGGTATGGCTTGACTCGGCAGATTAAGGTTTTTCTCTTCAGTCAAGGCCTCAGTCAATTGAATTGGACCCCTCTTTGGATCTGCAACTTCCAGGCGTCGGATGACGTTTTTTTGATACAGTTATTCAAGGGGCGCAGTCGAATCTTGGGACCAAAATCTTGCCCAACATCAAAGATAAATGCAAATCAAGCTTTGTTTCAAGCTTTTAAGATAGAGTTATACTCGTAGATAAGTAAGTTATTAAGGATCAGTATTTCTCATTTAAGATTCTCTATTTCTATTCATTGTTCATTGAAACCCAAAGATATTCATATTTATGTGTCAAGTTGGGACAACCCAAAAATAAGTCATATCAAGCGCTTTCTGAAACCACTTATCAACAAACTACCACCAACGAACTCAAGAGCAAACGAAACTTTGCAGAAAACCCCTACTACCACAAATAGGTACCACAAATAAATTGTGCAACGAATCCATTTTTCAATAACTTCTTAAGGAAAAGAATATCCTTTGCAAAGACGCATTACTCTCACATACAACTGCACCTACTTATACAAGTTTCACAATCATGACTTCACTTGCAGCAAAATACATCAGCCGAAAGGTGTTGGGGGAATCGGTTGGAAATAAGTTTGGATCAGAGGTATGAAATCAATCCACATGATGATTTTCTCTTCAAGTGCTAGTTTGCTGACAGTTTTCCAGGACCTGTACTTTGAAACTGTACCTGCTTCCCGCTTGGACGGTGTACCCTCAAAAAAGAAAGCGCAGAGAAGAAGAAAGGCTATACCTGCCGGCATATCAGAAAAAGATGCAAAGATTCTCACCAAAGTCAAGCGCAGGGCTTATAGACTAGACATGAGTCTTTTCAATTGTTGTGGAATTAGGTTCGGGTGGAGTAGTGTAATTGGGATCATTCCTGTGTAAGTCTTTCTCTGAGTTCCTGCTACATAGCATCACTAATATAACGTAGAGTCGGCGACTTTATCGATGTATTCATGGCGCTCATGGTACTTCGAACGTGCAATACAGTTGACGGCGGACTTCCAAACAGTGTTAGATCCAAGATGATGTTTAATATCATGCTCGATTTCGCCGTCGGTCTCGTACCATTCGTAGGAGACCTTGTCGATGCAGTCTTCCGTGCCAATACCAGAAACGCCCTTGAGCTTGAAAGACATTTACGTGACAAGGGTGCAAAGATATTGAAAGCGAGGGGTGAAGTTCTACCTGCCGTTGATGTTACCGACCCAGAGGAGTTCGATCATTATGACCAGCAGCTCTCTGACGAAGAACCTCCACGGTACACATCTGGAACAAATACAGAGATTGTCAGCCCCCGTGAGGCAGGTGGACGTAACCGTAACAGTTGGTTCGGTTATGGCGGTAGCGCAGAGCGAACGAAACAATCTGATCCTGAGCGAGGTCGTGGCGATAGATCAGAGCGAACGAGACAGCCTAATTCCGAGCAAGGTCGTCGCGATGGGCCAAACGTACAAGAGCCTCCACTTCCAGCTCGCCCTAAGAAGGCTCAAAAGAGTGGTAGACGTTAAAAGGAATTTGTGGTTGCTCTTTCGGGTTTAAACAGGGCTCTAGGAGTATTTTAATGCTGGGGCGATTTTCTTTGTCTGGTCAATAATTGATGACGCTTGTAATTGATGACGCTTTGCTTTATAAGTAATAAGAAGCATTGCATAGGAGCGTGGGTTTAAGATATAAAGATACCATAGATGCAAAATAATGAAATGAAAGCACATTTAATCTGGAAACCTTTTTAAAGATCATCTGCATTGTATCGTTTTCAATAATTTCCATAGGCGCCTACTCACGTTCAGATCTCATTCTGAATCATCATGACTGATTTTACTCCACCCATTATCAAGACTTTTGTTTAGTGCTTCACGCGTTACCGTGGTTTCTCACTGATCTTCAAGGATTAAGATCTGATAACTCTGCTTGGCATTCAATGAGATTGAATTCCATCATCTGAATGGTTCATTAAGTGGAATAAGTGGCTCGGTGGTCAATGTGTATTGCGTTTGCAAATTTCCCAGCCTTTCTTTCAACGCGAACGCGAAACTTAGCGCGATGATTATTTTCAGCACGTGACGCGTACCAAAAGCTCTTAAAGACGCGGTTTCTCTCTTCAAGAGAGATTAATCCTCGAACTCATACATACATACTTTTAAACTCAACACGCACAATACAAACAACTTCCACGACTTCGTTCTTCCTTGCACATTTCAGATACCAATCATCAATCAATCTTCTTCACCTTGATCATATTCAATCACAATGATCTCTCAAATTACCCCATCAAAGACTGTACGTTTTATCGCGCCACCCCTCCTTTGATAAATTTTCGCGTCAACATTATACTGACTTCCATCTTCCACAGGCTGCCTCTGGCATTCAAAACATGAAAATGGAATCACCCATTAAGAAGCTCGACTTCGCCGGAAAAGAGAATGGTGCATTCGATGCCGACATGCCAATTGTCGAAGAAGTCAAGAAACCAATCGTCGAGGAACAAAAGATTGTCGCAGTTACATCTAGACTCCAGACAGAAGAAGCAGATGAACCTCTTCTCCAAGAGAACCCAAACCGTTTCGTTCTATTCCCAATCAAGTACCATGAGGTAAGTCGCGTCTCTTCACGCGTTGACGCGTAAAGTACTAACATGTCTTTCCAAACAGATCTGGCAGATGTACAAGAAGGCAGAGGCATCTTTCTGGACCGCAGAAGAGATCGATTTGTCAAAAGATCTTCACGACTGGAACAACAAGCTCAATGACGACGAGCGATACTTCATTTCTCACGTTCTCGCATTCTTTGCAGCATCCGATGGAATTGTCAACGAGAACTTGGTTGAGCGATTCAGTGGTGAAGTTCAAATCCCAGAAGCACGATGCTTCTACGGTTTCCAAATCATGATGGAAAACATCCACTCTGAAACATACTCTCTTCTCATCGACACATATATCAAGGAGCAAGCACAAAAGACATACCTCTTCAACGCCATTGATACCAGTAAGTTATAATCACACATTGTCACAAGATATATCAACTAACAACAATGATAGTTCCTTGCATCAAGAAGAAGGCTGACTGGGCTGTCAAATGGATTGAAGACAAGAACTCTACCTTTGCTCAACGTCTTGTTGCATTCGCCGCCGTTGAAGGTATCTTCTTCTCCGGATCCTTCGCCTCCATCTTCTGGCTCAAGAAGCGTGGTCTCATGGCCGGACTTACCTTCTCGAACGAACTCATCTCTCGTGACGAAGGTCTCCACACCGACTTCGCATGCCTCCTCTTTTCTCATCTCAACCACCGCCCATCTAAGCAAGCCGTTCAAGATGTCATCACCGAAGCCGTCGAAATTGAGCAAGAATTTTTGACCGAGGCCCTTCCTTGTGCTCTCTTGGGCATGAACTCCAACCTCATGAAGCAATACATCGAGTTCGTTGCTGATCGTCTCCTCGTCTCTTTGGGTAACGACAAAGTCTACAAGTCTGCCAACCCATTCGACTTTATGGAGAACATTTCCTTGGCTGGTAAGACCAACTTCTTCGAAAAGAGAGTTGGTGATTACCAAAAGGCTGGTGTCATGGCTGGTATCCAACAGAAACATGAGGATACAGAGGCACAAACCGAAGCTAAGGCAGAGAATGGAGGTGACTTCAACTTTGACGAAGAGTTTTAAATGCTGTCTTCCCTCCTTTCTCTTTTTTTTTTGTTTCCAAAATGGTACTTGGCGTTTACCTTGTACAACTCTTTACCTCAATCATGGGGTTTGCATGCATGCATAGACAACTGCAACAGACGGGTGTGGTTTATGTACAAATAATGTTTTAGAATGAAGGTGTTGTGGCGTTGCTGGGAGGATTTGGGTGGGATGAATGAATATGAATTGTATCGGTCATTTGGATATAGATGACTGGAAGGGAAATCATGGTAGGAGTATACTATGGTAGGATGGTTGGATGATCGGATGGATAGGACAGCGATGATACATTTACTTAGCATAACGAATAAAGTTTAAACATACATGATTTGATATGTCAAATGTCTACCTCCTTGGTGTATTTGAATGCTGTGACTATTATTTTCTATAATCACTCTAGTTAAATAACTCTTGGATATCTTGAAATGGATGATATATATACTCATTTCCTCATTTACTCTATTTCTATTACAAGCAAACATATCCACATCAACAAGTAGTGCATGCCCTATCCTGTCCTGTCCTCTATGACCATCCATAACACCTGGGCTAGCTCCTCCTAAGTTCTAACCCCTTCTTAAGGAATATCGACGATTGGTGATGTGATGTGATGTGATGTGATGCGATGCGGTTTGGAGTCTGTCTGTCCGAGGATGAGATGGAAGTATGCGCAGTCTTTTGGAATTATTTTATTGAATCCACCACAATACAATGGTTTTCTTTTGCCTCTGTATCTTTTTAAACACATCCAGACTCTGCAACCCATATATCCATTCATTCATTCATTCATCCATTCATTTCTTCCCCTTCTTCTTCTTGCCCTTTCCTCCTGCTCCCTGCACCTGTCCCTGTCCCTTTGACTCAATCTTCTTCTTCTCCTCCTCTCCTTTCTTCCTCTCCTCCTCCCCCTCAACCTGTAACCCAACCCCCTCCCCAACATTACTCTCCCCCATAATAATTTCCCCCAACCCCTCCTTCTCATTCTCCTCCCCCAACCCCGCCATCAACTTCCCCAGCTTCCCCATAATCTGCACCAATCTACTTACTTCCGCCACCTTATTCGTCGCATATTTCAAATTAACTCCCGAAGCTGGGTGGAAAGTTGTGAGTGTCAGTGTTGCGCGAGGAGGTTCGGGGTGTTTTTCGCTGGATTCGGGGGTACGTGCGGATTTGGGGAGGGGGAGGCGTGGTTTGCTGCGTGTGGAGTGGGTGGTTGAGGGGGCGTGGGGGGAGGTTGAGGGGTGTAGGATTGTGTATTTGGTTGTTATGCGTGTCTGTGGGGGGGAAGTGGAAGTTAGTTGGGGTGGATTTGGGGAGGGGGAGAGGGAGAGGGGAAGGGGAGGGAGAGAAGAGGAAGGGGAGGGAGAGAAGAGGAAGAGGAGGGAGAGAAGAGGGATACGTACGCTGCTAGGATGCGCTTTAAGTAGAAGTGAAGATTGAGTGAGCCATTCTTGGGCGGTCTCTAAATACGCCATCTTTGTCTTTGTCTTGTCTTTATCTTTATGTCGCAATCAATTGATCAGTATCGTGTGTATGGTAGTGGTAGGTGAAAAACGAGAGGAAGTTCTGTTGTGGAAAGTAATAAGTGACGTCGAGCGGTTTGGCGCAAGCTGTAAAGATTCGTGGGTGGCGGGGTGGAAAGATGGATGAGCATGAGTGAACGAATCTCAATCATTCAATGAATCAATCAATTACTGTAGAAGGAAGCTCCTTAGCGTGAATGCGGGGTGAAGCGAGATCTTGAGGCTCGGCGGGTACATACCGAGAATCTGCCGAATACCTTCATTAAACTTCAAGCTCACAACAAAATGTCTCCAAAATACATAATCTGTACCTACCTAGATGTCTATGATTGACCATAACTACAAGTAACCTACTCGAATATATTGGCTCATATCTACTTCTACAACATTGATCAATTTTGTAGAAGTTTTACTTTACCAGATATTCGATGCAAGAGATAATAGAAATGAGCACAATATATATAAGAGACGTGTCTTGTTCGACTTATTACTCGAGTATTTGAGAATTGTTCACTCAAGACTTTTGTACAGAAAGTCGCTGGGTAGCTCCTTCCGATTTGATCTGACACAAGCAAGCTCTTTCCATATATGTCCCCTGTCCGGGTATTCAAAAGAATCAAACCTCGCACTTTTCCCACAATCATTTTATTAAATCTTCTATTCCTTACTTCTTTCTTTCTCTCTATCTTCATCTCTCTCTTTATATCTTGTTATGAATATGAATTTATGGTGTTTTTACAGCTTTAGGTTGATTATTTTCTTCTCTGCGTTACAAAATCATCAAAACCATCAAAACCATTCTTACTCAATTGACATTCCAAGAAACTACTAAAGTCTATTATTTATCATTAACTCCAAATAAAATCTCACATTTCCTCATTGTCAAATTATTCGGGTATGCCTGCTGCGAAGAAAAGAAAATCCCCGCTTCGAAAAAAACAAAACTCAAAACGGGGAGCAGAGGAGGTGGTGGAGGTGGTCAACCCTGTCATCGGTCACCCTGATGCCGCATTCAACAAATCTGATCAAGACTCCTTGATGTGGAAATTCACCCATATCTTTTCAGAAGATCAGATTGCGCTGATACTATCTGTATTGAAGAGAAAGCCATATGACGTATCCATCAAAGGTAGGAGTTTTGATTCGTCGTTGAAATGTTGATTCTAATATCAATCCAGATTACTTGAATGGCTTTCAGAAATCAATCAAGTCCGAGGAAACACGTAGTAATCGTATGGTGGATTCTGGAGAGTTTTGGAAGCAACAATCCGAGGAACGATTCCAACAAATCCAACAATTGAAGACTCACGTTGGAATTCTGGAGAAGAGATTACGAAGTTTTCCTAAGGTCCCTCAAAAACCTTCAGCGAAAGGTTCAGATGGAGATGAGATTCCGAGCCGCTCTCGTTCCAATACCTCTGCTTCTCATGGTAGCCAATCTTTGGATCTCTCCGGGAAAAGAAAGAGAACTCACACAATGGATACCATTCCTGATGAAGACGATGAGATGGGAACCGATGTGTTGGAGTACAGCAACCGTCACCTGATGATTGTCTCTTATTGTGAGTCACAGGTTTTCCCATTTTAGTTCTTCTATGCCATTGTTGCTCATACATCCCTTTGCAGTATATCAAATTTCAGAAAAGCGTCGATCCCTTTGCGATAAAAAGAGGCTCCCAGGGTCGCATGTCGAACCAATGCCTATGCTGTGCCGCCAGCTTATAGGGTTCACCTGGGAAGCAATATACGAATGCACTCTCAAATATGCAGACGTTCGAAAATCAAATAGCCGTCCCAAAGATATCAAACCTCTGACCTATCTTGTCAATGAAATTGCGGGGAGTTACAAAAGATGCGTCGAGGTTACAGCCGAGCAGTACAGAACTATCAATGGAAGAGAGCTGGTGAGGAAGGCTAGTATCATATATTCCTTCTGCTCTTTCTTCGACAAGGGTTTGAGTCAGTTGCATAGTCTATGCGTTAGGAATGCAAAGCTGTCAGTATGTTCAAGCAATCCGGCACCACAACAGGCGGGAATTCCTACTAAGAATGATGAACCTGTTATGATTGGCTTCACTGCAAATCTACTAATTGATATCCTTCGAAGGGTCAATTGGCAGCAGGACAATGAATTGCATGAGCAGATCATCGAAGGGATCTTAGCGACCATTCTAAATTATATCGGCAAGCTCATGTCTAATATCATTTTCCACGAAGAAGTTGCAGCTTCTAATGTCCCCGGAAATATCAGCTCTGGAGAGATCTCTCTTCCGCCAACTACGATGGAGTCCGAATTAGAGTCCAAATATCTTGTTCCGATACTTCATGTTGCACTTGAAGTTTTCAAAGAAAATAAGATGCCAGGACCAACGGAAGGACTTGTAAAGAGAGAAATAAAAAGGATTCAGAATACCTTCACGAATAGTTTGATTGGGGGGAACCTAATGGCATTAGCGGTGCCAGAAAGGATTACAGAGGAACCACTTGATATACCGGGACTAGAAGGATTAGAAATGTATGGCAATGAGTGGACTATACAAAGTGTTTTTTCCATGGTGGGAATGGAAGATGTTGATTTTGACGCTGATGATGAAATGGTGATGGGTTGAAATGTAATGTAAGGACTGGATTTGCTTTGATTTGCTTTGATATAAATGAGCGAGCGGGATTGGACGATGGGATGGGATTTATTGGGATGCAAGAGCGAGATTTATGGCGTATATTTATTTGGCTTTAAAGCTTGAGCTTAGTTGATATACTCGAGTAGTATATTGAGAGATACCTATCTTGTTCACAGTGTAGTCAAATGTTAACCAGTTAAACCAGTGCACCGATCAAACTGGCAGTTTAGTTCATTGAATTTTAAATTGCCCAGTTGGTTTAATTTGTACAGTTGTCAGTATGATCCCAATTGTCAGTGTCAGTGTCAGTTCAGTTATAGCCTTCAGTTATAGCTTTTCCTAAACAGCTAATTTAGCTCGTTTAGCTCGTTTAGCTCGTTTAATTAACTAAATTGGTACTCTAGAACTCTGGTAGTCTAGACTCTACTAGGTAGTTTATTAAATTCAAACGGGTATTTTGGTTTATACGAGTAGTTTGTGTTAGACTGTCAGACTGTCAGTGTGATTTTGAATTTTATATTTATATTGTTGATTATACTCGTATTGTGATTGTGATTGGATTGTGATTGTGATTGGATTGTGATTGTGATTGGGTTGGATTAGAATCATTGATTAGAAAGGAGGTGGGGAGGAGGGGAGGGAGGGGGAAGGAGGATCTTGTGTGGTGTAATAGGTGAGTGGTGGGTAGGTGGGTTTATAAGATGGGTTTATAGGGGAGAGGGGGATAGAAGGAACGTATGAGGGATGGAAATTAGTACCTAGGTTATTTGGTTTGTGATATGATGGTTTTTGATATGATGGTTTGTGATAGTTGATTGATTGATTAATGTAGAGAGTAGAGAGTAGAGAGTGAAAGTTTATTGATAGATTGATTGATTATTATTAAATGGATATGGTATGACGGGTTGTGATGATGAATTGAAGAGAAAAGAAGCGAAGCGAGAGAAGGAAGAAAAGAAAGAGAATAAAATGGAAGAAGACTATATAGCGGCATGGAGTGGAGTTGAAAGTTTAGAGGAGTTTTATAAGTGCAAGTCGATATTTAGTAAGTCTACTACCCCACTTTCGGGCCACCCCCCCTTTCGGGCCACCCTAAAAACCCACACTGCCTCAGCAACCTATCTTCTTAAATATTTCATGATTAAACAACCATTCAATCAATTGATTTCAAATTTTGAAAATACTATTATTTATATAATGACAAACCTCTATGAGGAAAAAAATATTGCTAAAGCCTTAAATGCTATCACAAATAATGTTTCAATACAAAAAGTTGCTCTGGATTATGGGATCTTTTGTACCACACTTTAGAACTATATCAATAGGCAAGTCTCCTATAAAAAAGATACCCAAATAATATAAAAGATTGTTTTGATTCAAAAGAGATGATTAATAGAATGGATATTAATATAAAAGAACTTGGGTACTAGTTCTATTTATTGGCTAATTCATGAAATTAGAAAGTGTTTTCTCGATATAAAAAAATCGATTCTACCCTTGAGAAACAATAGATATACAACTTTTTGAAAAGAAATCTAGAGATTAGAATCAAAAAACAATATAAGATTGACTCTACCCAAGTTTCGGGTGCTTCACATAATATTATCACACCATAATTTCGAAAACTCGATTTATTAGAGATTATCGATATAAAACCTGAAAATTGATACAATATGGATGAGGTTGGTATAATGAAGGATCAAGATCTTAATGGATTAGTAGTAGGAAGTTTCTAGTGTTGTTATATTAAAAAAAAACAGTCTGGTTCAAGAGTTTGGATATCTTTTATCGAGTATATTTCGGTGATAGGATGGGTTTTCAAATTATTTGTTATATATAAGGGAAAATATGTTCAATAATAATGGTTTTCTATTGATTTTGATCTTTATAAGGATTGGAATTTTATTGCTATAGAAAATGGGTGGATGTGACCAAAAGGGTATAAACAGGACTCCGATTGTGTACTTAGAATCTACAAGTGAAGAGCTATGTAGGATGCTAAAAGGAGGACTATATATACAGGTATT